ATGTCAGTGCTGTCTCCACCAGGCAAAGAACCACACCAGCAAATGTTAGAAGGAAATGTCAGAGGAACTGATGCAGCGCCAGACCACCAACCATGCCCGAAAATCCTCCCCTAATAACCTACAGTCTAACATGGATATTTCCCTCTTTGCAGGTCTTAATGATGTCCACAGAATGAATGAAACTGGTGGGTTTTTTTCCTTAGAAGTTCATGTAGGTTTTTTTCAGGTAGGAAAAGCAATTAGCTGACAAGCCTACCATAAACAGATGCTGCAAAGCTTGCGAGAGTCAAGGGCACTCTGACTTCAGATGAAGCCAAAGTATGGTTTAATACTGCTAGTGTGAACACTTAATTGCTTTCAAATGAATTCAAGACCAGTCTGCTCCAAGAAATCGTATCAAAACTTTTCCATTCATGCTGCATGGCTTACAGCCAGCGGTTAAGATTTAAAACTGGTTTCTGCTAAGAAATCCAGAGCACGTGTCAGTGGAGCAGAGAGGAAAGAACAAAAAAAGTGAGATTTAGATACTATATTCATCAAACACAGATTGTTTGCTCCAATCTTGTACCCTTATAGCTGTTTTAGTCCTACAACAAGGACTCTGCTTGACGGGAAGATGACCACAGGATTCCCATGTCCTCACAGCAGTTCACAGGGTCTTCTGTCTTTACGAAACTTAAGGCTTGTAGGAATCCCTGAAGGCTTTTTCAGTGGACCTGGAAAGGAATGCATACGTCCTAGTTCCTTCCACCAGAGCTTCACAAACAGGAGCAATAACCGCAGTAAGGGGATAGGCTATAAGCAAATTGGACAGGCTTCGGAACCCTTGTAGACTCCTATTCTCCCCGCAGCTGACAGCAGACCAGTTTCACCCAGTCCTCTGCATGTCTACAGCACTACCCAACCCCAGCGCAGGGAGAGCTCTGTGGCCTCGTGAGTTCAATCACTGGTTATCCATTCTGCATCCCTCCTACAAAAGGCTTCTGAGAAGTATCCAACAGTAATGCATTCAGGCATGAACAGTCACCACAATGACGTCTTTTGAATCTTTTATCTGAATTTCACTGGTCTGGTAACTGGTCAGCGTGACTGTCGCAACCAGCAAGCAGCACAACAACAGATGAAGAGGCGTAAATGAAACTTGCTGTACTGCGCTCAAAGCCAGGTAGGTCTGAGGCAACGCTATGGCTTTCAGTTATGGAACTACTTGACGGGATTTCTTTTCTGAATAAAACACCAGAAGCCAAGACTGAAAGCAAAAACCTCTCTCAATTCCACCAGGCTTTGTTCAAAAACACCGTTCGCTCCTCATGGGACAATCTTGAACCTGCACTAAAGAAGAAATTTCACACCCTATATGTTTAAGAGTTATCTTGTTACTCTGGGCTCAGGGAAACAGAGGTAAAAGGTCAATCTAGGTGCAAAGTGAAAACAACAGGAGCATGCGGCAGAGGCCAGAGGAGCAATGCAAATACAGCAACTGCAGCAGAAATGCATGAACAATTAATTTACAAACTTTAATTTTATTTGAAAGTTCAACAATTAGGAGAACATACACTGCAGTTGGTTTAGCTTTTAGAAGATCCCCAAATAAATTACATCAAAGACGTGCACAGTTCTAATTATTAAAAAGATCATAAAAATTAATTGCTTTCTCACATGCCAAGATTAATCCTTTTCCATTTCAACTACATTAAAAGTTGCCTGTGCAGGGATTACTTTTATAGCAATGCAGAAAACAACACAGTTTGCAGGTCTTGATGCCCCAGTAAAGATTTACAGGCATAGGCACTTAAGGGCAAGAGGAGATCAAGAGAGATAACATCCCGTGAAAGTCAGATCTCTGTGCTCACACAAGATCTCTAACTAAACGCTACTGTAAATTGCAAAAGGTCTTAAGTAGGCAACATTATCCCGTATCAGCAGAGTGGAAAGTGTGCTGTTAGATTACATAGGTTACAGTGGAGTTCAATTTTAATTCAAGACCTTGACGCCCCCACAAGGTTACCGGTGCTTTCTACAGAAGACATGTTTTTTTAGAAACTAAGTATATTAATCTTGGGCCTATTTTGACAGTTTTGAGCCACACCAATTTTTACTGTCCTCAGTTCCCTGCTAAGGAAAAACACAATTTTTTCAAAAATTTACTTTTTCTTCCTTCATTGTTCCACATTTCTTCCCAGATTTACAGGTGCTGGCATTCAGCTGAATAACCACAGAACGAAACCTAGTGTCAGTTACGACTCCTTTCACCACATCCCATTACAGTATATAACAAAACAACATTTAAGGCTACTAATACAGGGGAGGTTTCTCTTCCTACTGCACCACACCAAACTTTTGACATGCAGTAAGCATACAGTTATCTTCCAAACGAATATACAAGTTTGAAGTCCGGCTCAAGTTAAGTATCAGATTTTTGATGGCTACGAGATAGCAGACTCAAATTTAGGAAGCTCTAGACATTTTCATTCATCCCAGAAAACATTCACTTCTTTTCACCCTGATTTCTGTCTGTGCCTTTGGGTTATAACAAGATACTATCTCCCCTTTACCCCAGAGCTTGTCTATTGACAGCACTACTGCTCGTCATATGCTCAGTTAAAAAGCAAGTCTTTCTGCTCTGTATCTACTCCCTAATATTTCGTATTGGTTATTACAGCACAGTAAATTAAAGGAACGTCTTCTTCATTATATTAGCTGTCCAAGTATTTCCCTATAGGGTAAAGCTAGGGAGGTATTTTATATCAGGCTTGGTCCTGAACACTGCGTAGTCTCCCCTTAATGTGTCAGAGTCCTCAGCTCCAGTTACTCTCTCTGGAGGTATCCATGACAGAGTCACAGTTACAGACCTGAAATATTATACATCAGCAACTCAGTATAGCTCTGCTTCTATTTAGCAAAACGACTCTTTTTCATAACATGACTTCCAGAAAAAGAGGGAAACAGGTCTCAGCTTCTGCCAAGAGGATTCTAACCCTTTAAGTCTTTTATTTTATATATTTTTTTATCCTTTCTGCAGATGACAGTCATGTGACCAAAGTACCAGCAGGAAAAATTTACCCAACGGGAGCGCATATGACATTTTTCAGACTGCTTTGGGTATGGAGAGCTCCCAAAACTGCCTTTGGAAACAGCACAGGCAGCATTTCCACTGATGGGATTAAATGAAATCAGCTGCATTGTGCTGCAGCCATCCAGTTTCCTCTCTGGCTGCAAGTACTGGCATGGACTATGATAAGCTTCAGATAGCGCTTCATTGAAATCAAAGAACCGAGACAGCTCTGACTTATTAGTATTCTGTGAAACAGTGGTGACTGATTTTTAATTTAAAAAAGAAGAGGGAAAAGGTGATAAAAATCTTATATTTAAAAGACTGCTTTCTGTTTACAGGAGTCTTTATTACAAAGAAACCATTAGGGTCTCCACAAAAACTTCACTGTGTTTGTAAAATTAAATTCTCCTTCCAGTAAATATCATATAATTTATCTAGTTCACCTTAAAAAACCCCCACACACATGGTAATGCCTATGAAGGATGTTGGCATGACAGTAGGAACTGTAAGATCCTCCTTCCAATCAAGAAGGGGTACAGTCTGCGTAAAAGATCTGGGAAGATCCTTCTGCCGTGTTCTCCACAGCCCACTATGTCTTTGGTCATGGACAACGATATTGTCAAACAGTGTCATTTCAGGATGTAGTCTTAATTTCTATTATAATCCAACTTACCACTCCATCTCCTAAACCAGACTGCATGGGTTAGGTTTTGAAAATTATGCTCATCCCAACCCCCATCCCTCAGACCAGAGCTGGGAGGGCCCATGCTTTCCAGCTGTCAGCCGCGTAGCTGCGCCTCCCGCCAGAAGGTGGCTGTATATTATGATCCCTCTCCTGGCCTCTGACTGGACTTACCATGCACTCACAGTATATATATACATATATATGTATGTATATCCATGTGTATGTGTATATATCTCTCTAATGTGCGCACATGCAAAGTAGTTCTGAGAAGATCAACAACAGCAAAGCAACATTAGACTTAAAAACCCCTATTAGCACTCAATGTATGAGCAATCTAGTTGGGCAAAAGTTTCAGACAGTCAAGTGACGTAAGCTAAAATGGGACATAAAGCAACATGTCTCCTATGTCGAACGTTTCCATGTATTAGAGATGACCCTGCATAATCCACTGTTATTTGTGATAGATAAGCAGAAAAAGCAGTCACAAGGGCATCCTTCACAGAACACTCCTGCTAGTACGCACCTTCTCTGACAAATACAAAAAATTGATTACGTGATCGGACATTCAAATACAAAATGGTACTATACATATCATAGCAAGCAATAAATAAGAAAACCCTGCTGATACAGTAGGCTTAGAATAGCCCTGTGACAAAGAAATGGCTTTCTAAAAGCCTTTACAAGGTCTGCACAGACTATAAATGTTCAGTATAAAAATAAACAAAAAAGATATTAAAACGTGACACAGTAAAATTTTTAAATAGAGAGGACCTGGTAACAAATACAAGCTGTTCCCCTTCACATACACAGGCTGGACCTGGTAACAATACAAGCTGTTCCCCTTTACATACACAGGCTGAAAATTGGAGCCATGTCATTAATCACGTTCCGATTAATCGAAGTATTTTAGTTGACCTGGAACAAAACTTTGACATGAAATAGCTTAAGGCTTTATTGCTTTCATTTAAATTTGGCAATTGAATTTATAATCCTCATCGTGTTAGTTTTTAGTGTTAGTTTTTAAATCCAAACTCTCTCTGCGTAACAGAAGGATAAGGTTAACAGTCAGTAGCTTTTAGCCATAAAGTCCACCGAGATGACATATCAAACAATTACTCATTTATAGCTAAAATAATGACAGCTGTCATTAAAAAGGGGCCAATATTCCCCCTTTTTCATCTTTGATATGCTTTATCTTCGTAGAAATAGTTTTGTTTGTGAATCAAATAAATCACGATCACCATAGCCTGTTACCAAAACTTAAAAGTGGGTGTTGTTCTTCTTCGTCTGCAAGAACGGAGAGACAATGACAATATCATCTGAATCGTCTGAGTGAGTTTCATCCACAGACAGCGAGGGAGTAGGCTGCGATTGCTTCTCAGAGGACCCGGCTGAAATAATTACAAAGGAAACAAAGTCATCAATAAACAACATTGACAAAAACAAGCCCTTGTGGGAAGTGTAATATTCTCTGAGCCATTAAGTTTCCAGAATTACCTACAGCTATGAATAACTCCGATCTATCTTTTTCCTGTTCCTCTTTAATGAAAGAGCATGCATGGCAAGCGTTAAGTTGAGGTACTGACCACATGTGATTTGTCTTATTGTCTTTACATCTTTGCAAGTGGTTACACACCACAAAGTAAAGCAATTCGATACTGAAGCCATTTTAGGTCATGAAAATAAATATTTATTAGATGGCCAGAAAAGGAAGATTTGACCCAAGCTAGCTTCAGCTAAGCAGAAAGGTCATAATGAGAACTTCAGTCAGATATAGATAGAGAATGGAAGCTCTCAGTGACTGTCTTTCATCCTTTTATCTGTAAACTACAAAAAATAGTATTCACATGCTGTACTACCTTACTTAAAGACAATAAAAATGATGCCAACACCATGGTTTTCTTTTTTTTTTTTTTCCCCTCTTGCTTCTTTGCTATTTTTCTGGGTGCATGGTTCTAATGGTTCTATGCATCTCATCGATTCCAACACTTGAACAAATGTTCAGGGCACGAACAGATAGAACCATAATGATTCCAGTAAATACTGGAAAATCAGAGGAATAAAATGGATACCTACATTTTATGGCCTCTAACATCTGATGAGCAGAACCAGCAGCTTGTATCTCTTCTGCAAGAGATCTATGAACTAAATGATGACATCTATTAATACCTTCTAGCACAATATCCTCCCCATAGCTATTAATACCTCCTAGCACAACATTCTCCCCTCAGCTCCACATATTTTTCAGTTTAAAATACCCATTCTCTAAAACTCTGCTTTAGCAGGGGCGTTGGATTAGATGATCTCTAGAGGTCCCTTCCAACTCTGAAAATTCTGTGATTCTGTGAAACCACTATCTCCCAGAGAAGAAAACAAATCAAGACAACCTGTGGTAGAAAGAGGAAAGAGACAAGTAAGAAACCATACACTGAGATTTTGACACTGAAATGGAAGGGAAAAACAGAGGGCACACAGAGATTACTTGGGAAGAACAGCAGCCATGCCATGGACCTCATAGTGAAAAAAGATGTTCCTGACACAGAAAAAACCCATCCTGGTATGGAAGAGGAGGCATACACAGCAACTGGAATGTGGAATAAAGAAAGGGGACTGCAACCAGCCCATTAATAGAAATAGAGTGACAGACAGAGAGCCTGTGACTGGAGAGAAGGAATGCAGGGAGGCCGTTACATTGACCTCATCCGAAAGAAGCAAAGAAATATGACTTTCTAGTTAAGTGAAATCCGTCTCTGCATCGGTCAACAAATAATCTAAGAGTTTTTCAGGAAGATTTATGAGCCAGCAGTACTGGTGATAAGGATGAGCAAAGAGAACTTCCAGAAGCAGGCACGATAACTAGAAGATGCAACTCCAACAATAAACAGATATTATATATGAAATAGCTTAATATTTTGAAAATCACTCTTGATTATATCCTGCTCTTGATGTCCGAGACTTTCTTGTCCTCTTCTTCGGTTTAATATACTTCAGAGTGACAACTTTTATCTTTGTGCTTGTGAAGGGGTAAGAGCTGATTAGATTAAGGGTTGTATGTAAATTCATTATGATTTCAAAAAAGCCTCAAATTAGGTTAGCAGTTCTATCCAGAGCGGCTAGTGATATGCAGAGAGAAATGCTGCCCTTATTCAAGATTGCTGTGCATTTACAGAATATATTCTTCCTTCCTGCCACTCCCCTGACAGAAAGAAACAAAATGCTAAGTTTCACAGACTGAATTGTTATTACCTGTTCCATTTCATGGGAAGTAGCAGAAATGACTTTACAAATCTCCAAGTACTGTCCACATTCTGAAGACGAGCAAAGCAGTGTTGAATACTACATGACTTTTGCTGTTTTGTTTTGGTTTTTTGGAAAACAGACATCTAACCTGACACAAACCATGAATTAAAAGTCTGCAATGCTAGACCAGGATTATATACATTTATTCTAGCAGATACATAAGGCTCTTTAAAACACATTTTCATTTTTCCCATCCCTCTCAAAATAATGCCGAAAGGCTAGTGAAATTAAATGACTTACTGCAATATAGACTTTCACTAAAAGTTTAAGATCACTGCAAGATCTAGAGGTCACAAAATGCAAGTTTGGACTTGGGACAAATGAAGCAAGAGCTTGTTCAACAGCTGTATGATTTAAAGCTAAAGGAATTTGATTGCTTTAAATCACTCAGCTGTTAAACAAGGTCCTTGTCTCATGTATGTTCCAAGCTGCAGGATAACCAGTGAAACACATTACAGCAAAAACCAATTTTGCTAGTGGATTTTTACATCAGTCATGAGCTAGGAATGACAGATGTTGGACTTTTAGCTAACTTTAACCTGTTTAAGCTACATGAATTCAAAGGGCAAAACCCCTGCTATAACCAAACAGATTGCTGAGGGGTCACGTTTCTTCATAGAGGATGCTCTCCCTCCTGTATTAATTTTTTCCCCGATTTGCCTTTTGAGAGAGTTTGGTTAAATCCTCCAATGCACCAAGAGCTAATACTTCACAGAGCTCTTTAGGGCAAGACAGTTTTTCAGGCAGTTGTGCAGTTATAGAAGCACATATCCAGTATGCCTCTTCACAACCTACCTAGGTACATTCTATTCTCATCCCAGATTTTGAAAATGTCTCCCATATTCTTAAGACCAGCAGCAAATATAACCAGCTTTGCCTGATATTCATCAGAAAAGGACTGCAAGAAAGAAATTTTGAATACTTATGGTCTTCTCTCTATCCCTTCCGGTATAAATTCTTCCAGAACTTCTTCACTCATTACTTTGTCATCATAACCTGCAATAAAATTTAGCTTTGAAGACTTCATAGCTAGACAGTGACTATTAGTATTCATACTACTGCATTTACCAGACTAGCTTCATTTTACACCCTTCTTTGGGTCTTAGAAGCACTTCTTCAGAAACACAAAGCAGTGATTCTTTCTCTTTGGGTAGAACTTCGCAACTGATTTACTCTGGGTTTACACTGAACATAGCAATAAAGGCTACTGCAGTAAAGCCCTGGCAAAACAGGATGTGGCAGCATTTTTTTTTCTGGATACTGTCACTAGACATAACTACAATCACTCAAAGCTCTAACGTCTTCAGAAGTAAGTACTACCTACTCCTTCACAAAGTAGAATACGCTGGAATATGGAATGCAGTAAAATTTCTTAAACACATTTTCCTTCACTGAAGGATAACCTCTGTATTCACAACCCCTGCAACTCTGGCTTATTCCGCATCTCGTATCTTAGAGAAACAGCCTCAGCTGCTTACAGAATGCTCCATTTCTGAGCAAGTCTACAGGGACTGTCAGCTTTTCATTGACAAAAAAAACCAAGTCAGTGTTTCTCAGGTCACTCTCAAAGTTGCTCTTTTTTCTCCAACTCGTCCATAAAAGCCTAAAATATCCGACTCTGGATAGAACCAACTTCTACTAATTTGTTTTTAACTCCTTTGAAGCTGCACGTCTAAGGCTGTCTTAACTGCATCACTATTTTGCCTTTCCTACTCAGTACTTCTAAACATCCTCTTAAAAGCCTCTTTGGCTTTAACTCCATCTTCACACAAACAGCAATGAAGAATTCAAGAAGGAAACCAAATGGCATAAGAGCCATAAAAAAGACAGACATTTTCCCAGTTTGTATTGTAGTACCACCGTAGTAGTTGGCAAGGTTATCCAGGATTTCATTTTTCCCCTTACTGCAGCAATGGAAGACTGCTGAAAAAATCGTGACTAAATACACATGGCTGACTAGGATGGTTCTTTTTACCAGATGTCTGTCCCCTTCAGGAACTAAGTCAGGATGGTGAAAACGTTCTCAGCTCGTCTGTGGCTTCAGGCCCAAAACGTAGTGGAAAGTACCACACTACAGCTACAGGGCTGGGGGGATTGAAAGGGAAGTAAAGAGGCAATACAGGGGAACACCGTGTTTCTTGAATAATTACCACTCACACCAGAGAGAGACCTTCCAAACCACAGTTGTGACAAAAAGGCAAATCACTGTGAGGAAGCTGGTATTGATACTGTCAAAGCTTTTTTTTTTTTATGTAAGGGACTGCACTTGGCAATATAAGCAACACGTCATCAAATTAAAAGACGACACACACACAGAGTACAAGTACGCATTTGCACATGTGTGTGCATGTGCAGATGTTCTCTATAAAATTATGTGCGCACCCACTCAAAACACACATACTTTTGAACACAGAGGGAAATGAGATTACCAGGAACAGATGACATGAAGATTGAAGGAGGTCTCTGGAGTGCTGCTGAGACCAGTTTCTTCTCTGTAATGTAAACTGCAGAATCTGCTTTCTCACTTGGTGCACTGGACACAGAGGGCCTGCAAAAAGACATACTGCACAGCATGAGGCACAGAACAAGAACTGCAGTCTGTCTTCAGAGGGTATGCTGAAGAGTTTCTTGTGTTGCTAGCCTCTAAGAGACAAAAGCTTATCACCTGCAGAAATGAGCTCAGACACTAAAAAGTGAGGTGACAGCTATGTAGCTCTCCTTGTAACCATGGCAGCCAAAATTAAAAACTTATGGAGCAGTAAACCATAAGAAAAAGAAAGGAAGTATTTTTCAAGACAGAGTCACCACAAACCTAAGCAGTAAGCAAATCAGTGCGTTCTTCCTGAGCTAAGTCACTAGACTGTATGCAAGATGGTATTCTAGCTCTTCACTGTTCTTCCTCCACATAATCCTTAACTTGTACATGTCAGGGCTCACGGCTTCAGATTCACTTACATTAAGCAAGTGTACTAGCAATCGGTTTGATAGCAACTGTATTTTTTTTTTTTCCAAAGAGCAATTATTTTACTTAACTTTTCCTCATTGCTATGGAAGAGAAAATGCAACAGGATATGGGAAGACTACTGCCGCAATAAGAAACCATTTTATTTGCACACCCTTTGAACTTTCTCATGAGCAACCTCTCCCTTATCTTTGTTGGAACAATGGCCTTTTTCTCCTTCTCCAATGTTCTCCAAGGAACCCACACTAAAATGCTATTAAAGAAAAAAAAAACAAACCCCTCTCCAGTAATAAACCCAATTTTGCTACGGCATGTTGCAGAAATATCCGTTCCTCACTTACCTCTCCTCAAGCAGTACTGTACGTGCTAAGTGAGCCCTGAAAATGGACTGGATGAATGTCACAATCTCATCTTTCTCCTTGCAATCAGAAGATGAGCTCAAGGAGTTTGACATGGAAGACATGCAGCAGTTCTGCAAAGCAATCAGATTTAAGAAAACTGACCTTTTACAGATTGCACAGAAGCTTGACAGAAGTGTTCACAATCTTACTCCCGAGTGTGAAATTGGTAGTAGGGCAAATATTCCCATCTTTTGGTCTGCAGTCTTTAAGGTTCTATAAGACTAAATCCGCAGGAAATGCAAACCTGATCATCATACAAGCTTTGAAGCATCTGTATTCAATTAATGAAAGACCAGACACCTACAAGGAAAGTTCATTTATTTTTCAAGAAGGAAACCTTTCGAAGTTGAAGGAGGTTAGCCAACTTTCATGATGGATATATCTTCTGCTTGTATCAAGCAAAAGTATCCAGTCCTAATACACTGGGCCAGTTTAATGAAATAAAAGTGCATGTAAAGTGCAACCAGATGGACAACCTGAATGGAGAATTACAAATTAACTTTAGCCTGCTGAAGGTCCAAAGGATGTTCATAGAAGTTGGCAAATGATTTACAGAAACTAAATGTTTAATTGGTAAGGAACTTTTTTCATTTTCAGAACTGCGCAATTTGGAGCAAGTTTGATGTGACAGAGGACACTACAAGCGTTCGGTTGAGCATGCCACATGCAAGACTCCTTTAATTTTCAATCCAATCAAAGATGCTTTCCAAATTTTTATTTCAGCGGCAAAGGTGTGTCTATTACTACACTGATTCAGTAGTGAACACTTGAGAGCAAGCACAGTTTTCAACACTGAAATAAAAACTTAAAGGGTATGTTATTAGCTGATGGGAAAACCAGAAAAAAAAAAGAGGAGACCTAGTTACAGTCCATAATGCAGAGAAGTTATAGCTTTACTTCTAAGAAAAACTGTGAACTAAAGAAGGTGAAAAGGAAGGCTAAGGAATGAGCTCGATATCTTTCAGGAATTACAGTGGTGCTGCCAACCAGTGCAGTAAAACAACATCACCAGATGATTCAGAGAATTAAGTCTGGAAGTACAGTACTTTACACAGTAAACTAAACATAATGGGATGCCTGGATACCCATTTGCCCCAATAATTACCTTGTTGTGAGATTTTGCATCATGCATCCTGTTATTCAGTAACAGTTTCTGTCGAGTTAAATGTCCTCTGAAAGCTGCCTGAAGCATGACAACTGCCTAGCACGGAAAGAAATAAGTAGATGTTAGCTCCTTCGAAAGATGGCAGCTATAAATTAAAACAAGAGTCCAGAGGGAAGAGGCACATGGGAGAAATAACTTTTCCTTGTGCAATGGAAACTCTTTGATGTCTAGATATTTTCATATGTTTAAGGGATACACACATATCCCCATTACTTCACAAGTACTCTGCTGCAATCCAGAGAATCCCCAGCCTGTGACAACCCATTGATATACACCTCCATGGTTTGAATTCAATCTGGGAGGTGTTCATGATTGATCCTATCAAACGCAGTTAAGTTCTAGCTGTCAACACTAGCCTATATTTCACAAATAAAGCAACATGTTCCCATTCCCATATTAGATTCTGGCTACCCAGCAGGCTCTGTGATGCTCTGCTACAATTAGAAATCAAGCCAAGTTTGGCATACCATTGTGGTGATTACACTGAACATAAGTCTTTCCTCTCTACTCAGATTTTTCTGGATTCTAATCAATAAAAAACATTGAGATGTATGTTTGCATCACATAGAATTTCTTCTAATTTCTGAAAGCAGGATTTTTAATGTTCTGGAAGAAACAAATGTAAGATGCTACGTTGTGCTATTTGAAAACAACAGTTTAATCAAAACCTTTGTGCAAAACATTTATCAAAAAGTGAAAAGTTTGTCAAAGCCAGTTTCTTCATAATACTCAGACATTTCTTCCTAGCAAAGGCTTCAAATTCTTACTTCAAATCTTTCTGAAGACTCATCATAGTGAAAACGAACACATTATTAGAATTACCTAAAAGAGGAAAACTTTCCTATTTGTTTGTATCAAATTTTGCTCAAAATTTTCAGAAGCATTCATCTTGCAGAAGGTACCAAGTATAGAACATTTGAGGCCAAACGGGGAACACTTTGACAAGATATATCAAACAAAACTGGGATTTTGTTTTGTTTGTTTGATACTTTTGTGCTTTGATACAAATTAAAACTGTTTTACTGTTTTGTTGGGTGTCATAAACACACTTACCTCATCCAGAGCAATTTCTTCTTTCTGAAATGAGAAATGCCTAAGTTAATGTCACAAATATATACAAGTTTTATCTAATCAAGATTTTTCCAAATTTTTCCCAACAATCAAAATACACGGAAAAACCTGTCCCACCTCTAGTGGGAATCGTAGTGGGAAGCACTGCTGCAGTTCCTGGAACCTGGCAGCAGGTTACTGTAGATGCTAAACAAGAGTAAGATTCAGACAGGGATGTCCTCACTGTTCCCTGATAGGAGAATCTCACCTTGTTTCGGTACATCTTCCACTGTCTCTGGATGATTTTAGCTGCTTGTTCCTTCCTGTGATCTTCTTTGTCTTTAACCCTGCAGACTGGTAAAGACTGCAAAGGAGAATCTTTAACTTAGTACCTTGAAGAGATAGGTTGGAATTCTATGAGGGAAACAGGTTACATACGACTCAAAAATCAGCACCAAAGCTGTTAAATGCTCATCCTGCCTGCAGGATGGAAGGAAGTTAAAGAGGAAATTCTTAGTTCTGAATACTGCTCATGTTCTTTTTCCTATTTTAGCTGTTAGCAGAGCATGGGAATGGAAACGTTTTCATTTACACAGACACCTATTTTTCTATGTATTGCTAAAGCTCCAACAGCGGAACCCACTGCTTTGCTGATCAGAAAAGGTTTGTATGTTATCGACAGACTGAGAACAAACGTCAGGATACCTGAATAAGAATTGCAAAATAAGGTAAGACTAGTATTAATTAACCAGGGAGCTCTCTCATGTCCCATCCTGGCAACTGCGGCCCCATGATCATTTGTTTAAGCTTACTGATGAGTTGGCCATCATATGACACCAACAAGATGCAAAGCTTGTGTAAACTGGCATAGCTCTACTCTTCTATCTTGAAGAAATTATTTAAAGGAAAAAAAAAAAAAGAAACCAAGTACAAAACAAGATTTTATTCCAGTTATTTCGTGTGAGGTGTGGTTGCATATTCCACTTCTCACCATCTGATCCTTTTGATCCCTAATTATCCCATACTAATTGTCATACCTCGCTTGCCAAACAAAAGTTAACTGCAATTTTAAGAGACTAATTTAATTTGTTGGTGTAAAATTTTAAGTAGAGGAACAGGAGAGTTTATAGACTCTGAAAAAAAACTCTTGATTCTGTGAAAAGGATTTATTTATAACCTAAAAACGCTGAGTTACAGGCTTAAGTTTAGCAAATGGATCATGTTATATTAAAAATGACAACCTACTATTAAAATGAAAAATTGGTAGGAACTTAGTGATAATTACAAATAATGGGAACATTTCAATAAATGGATGGTTACTGGCCAAGAATATATATAGTCTGCAGCGGAAAAAAGGAGCTATTTGTTGGCTGTTTTTAAAGACTCGAGTTATTTGGTATTCAAAACATCATCTAGCATCCATCAGCCTATAACACACAAAAAAATCTAAAGAACTGCACAGTATATCAAAAACCAGCACCCTCTTAAGCTAGTGGACATTTTTATTCATATTTTTTACTACCTGTATTTCAGGGTCTATTTATTTTTAAGTACAACGATCAAAATCCTCAGTAATAACTTTCAACTAGCTTTCAGTGAAATGAGATTAACATGACCACACTGCATCAGAAAGCTTGTCTGTCAGTGCCCGTTCATCTCTACTGGCCAGTTACAACAATGTTTGGCAGAGGGATGGAAGATTGCAAAGATATCAAGTTCAGTCATATTTCACAAAAAAACAATTCACAGAAAACCAAGCAGTTACAAAGCCCTATTTAAGAATGTCCAGGGTTAATAGATGCACAGTTATATTTATTAGATATAGGAAAATCCAGAAGAGATTATGAATACCTCAACTCTACAAAAACTTCAATTTAAAGGGGATAAGGGTTTATTTTATTGCACTGACATCTTCCCTAATTCTTTACTCAAAGATGGTGTCCCATCAGCAGTGGAATTAAAAACCTGTCTGTTTTCATGATGATTAGCGCTCTACATCCTGTAAGCCTTCCCATGAAAAAGTACCGAGCTTCCATCCAAACAGAAAGGCTAATGAATATTTTCTGACTGGACAGCACATGTGCCCTAACTGATCACTTGACCAGCATAAAAATCATTGAAAAGCATTTGTCTTTTGCCAGTCTGTCAGTGAGCACACTTACTTGTGCCTCTATCTTTTATCTAACTGTCATCTCCTACAAGACCTCCCTTCCTCTACAAAATTGGAATGAAATTAGCTAATGGGTTCAGATATTATAAGAAGATATAAGCAAAACCACAAATGTCTTTTTTTGTTTGTTTTTTTCTTAGAAAGTACAGCAAAAAAACCCAAACACTTAGAAGGGTGAGCTTTTTGCAACGTTCCGCTGAATAAGAAAAAAGTGATGGTGTGGCAGATAATCACTAAGAACAGCTCCAAAACACCCTCAAGTTGCAGTGGTAATTATTAAAACAACCTATCAACAAATGCTGGGAATTAGCTATCATTCATATTCTCTCTCTGAATGACAAGATTTAATGACCCTCTGACAAGACATAACTAGCAGCTATTTAGACTATCAGTTCAATTTGCAATATATTATTTAGATGCAATGGGGAAAAAACCCAAAACAAGCAAGCAAAACCTGTGTCTGTACCTTATTAAGCTTTTGCATTGTATCTTCTGCCATTTGTCTCTTCTCTTCCTCCAATTTTGACTCCAACTTCCCTACTTTCTGTGTCAGGTTCTGGATCTCCTCACTGTGGTTGGAAAAGCAAAGATATTTATAGCTAGAAGTTTTCTGTTGTTCCCGCTTTGAATATACTGAACCTACTTCATAATATTTGGTTGCTTTGGGTTTTTTAAAGGCCAAGTGGGAAACTGCTCAGGATAACATGATACATATTCTCATAGTAACAGAGACAGAACATCGATTCTTAAGTTGTGATAGCACAGCTTTATGTGAACATTTGGAGAAAAGAAAAAACCAAAAAGCCCAAGGTTACAATGGTACCCTTGGTACTACTAATAATGCAGCTAGATCTGATGACTGACATATATGAAACTGTAGCAAAGTCCTTTCTTACAAAGCAATAATGAAATCACTAAATCACTTTTTTTTTTGCCACCCTTGCACAGGATTATTGTCAACAGTCACACAAAATACATGAAGTAAATGGAATGACATATTGACAGGAGTCTAGAAGCGAAGGCTAAGGTAAGGTAAAGATACTACAGTTTTTCCTTATAAAGAAAAAAAATGTTTCTGAGCCCAACATGGCAGCTTTCTTTTTCTATTTATCTTACTAATTTTTATTGTAAGCTATACTTCTTAGTCTTCCACTTCCTCTAAAACTACTCTATAGAATTCTTCTCCTAGTAACTTGCTCCATCCCTCCAAATCAGTTCTGCTTAAATGAATTCCCAGCTTCCTGCAGTTCAGATGAACTCCTATGGATCCTGAATCACTTCAAAACAGAATTACACTTCAACAGATTTTGGGTTTGGTTCTGAAAGGATCTACTAGTACAAAGTATGATACCTGAAAGTTTGCTCTTCTGTACTATTTTCTTCCTTTTTATTCTGCCACTTCTGCAGCTCCAGCTCCACTTCAGCCTTAGCCTGCAGTAACTGCTTGATATCTAATCTATACAGTGTATAAAGAAATTAAACCATGCTTAAAACATCCATACTTCAAAAAAGAAGTAATTTTTTGTTTCAATTTCTAACTAAAACCGGTTTTCTCAAATTTGTAATTAAATGTTTAGTTTTTTCTTTTAAACAAAACAAAATGCAAGCATACGTTGTTCAGAAGCAAAAGGCCTCTTTGCATGCTCTCACTGCGTCTTTTTGTTCAGAGGCGCGTTGACACAGGAGGCACTGTCTTAACAACACATAGTTGTGTGCATATCTCTGCTCATGATCAGGTTAACCTGCCTGCCCTTATGCACTGACACACCAAATGAGTTCAAGCAATACAAATTGCAAATCAATTGCTTACTGAGGAGAAAAGAAGTCACAGTGCATCATATGGCAGGAGGCCGGCTTAAATGGAGAAAGTGGTAGACCAGGACAAAACATGTTGAAAAAACAAGACAAATTTTTACAGCAAAATGCTTCCAAGAAGTGCTGCGTAAAGCGACACGTAACCCTTCAAAGGCTTTTCAGCGTGGTTGGCAAAAAAATACACCTTGAAAAATGTGTCAGAAATAAGCAGAAATTCTCATTTTCCATTCTCTGAGGTTTTTTTCCTGCAACATAATTTTACAATGCTAGTAGGACTAGAAAAAGCTTTTGAAATGAAAGCTTAAGGGACCCTCAAAATTCATTTTCTTGCTGAAAATGTGAAGGACTTATTACATCGTTTCGTAACGTGATAGGAAATAATTAAATAATTCACGTCTACAAAAGAACAACCTCTCAGACAAGAGCTGCACTTACTCTTTATGGAGTACGAGATTTTGAAGTGCCTTCCTATCACTCTTCAGTTTCTCCACTAGCCCTTGGAGGCGACGACGTTCCTCAACATGCTCTACCTGTTGAGAGGCTGGGTGATCCAGGTCTGCTGAAGGCGAAGATGACACAGCAAGTAACTGTGATGACTCGCTATCTGCTGATGACACCCTGGTGTTCTCCACGGCACATACCTTCTAAGCAGTATAAATTTACACAAAAAATACAAAAGAAAAAAAGAAGAAAATTAAATTTAGCATTAAATGATTTCATTTAGGCCATGAGAAAAGATGAAATGGAAATTAATTCTAAAATATGCATTTATATGTAACAAGCATGAGAAAACAAAAAAGGGAGGAAGGGCACACGGTACAGGCATTAATTTACATGCATAAAACAGAATGCACAAGGCCTCTACGTTGAAAGACTACATGACAGGAGCACAAGCCAGTGGTTCTGCATTTTCTGCTCAAAGACAGGTAAGATGGCCACATGATGATCATCACTTACTTTTTCTAGTTCCAAAATCCGCCTCACCAGCCTCTGTCTGCTCCATTCACTATAATCTAAACACAATAACAAAGCTATAAACATGAAACTCTATCAATGAGGTCAACAGCGTTCTTGCTTTTTGAGACTTCTGTCCACATAGAAAGACCATCTAAAGACCTCTGAACCCCACCTTTAAATATGCAGCAAAGAAAAAATAAGAATAGGCTTCAAATAGCTGACTTCTACACCAATTAGCTCAGAAATCAATATAAACCATTCATATTCATTGGTTTCAACAACTGAAAAACAGTATTCCAGTGAAACATTAAATCTTCAAGTGACTCCAGTCCAGAATTCTCAGGGATAATAATAAAGGAAAGTGAGGTCTGACTGGAGCAGCACATCCAGAAGTCAGAGAGACTCCTGTAAGAAACTTCTCATTCCAACCTTCACCCCTCCTGCATCTTCACCTTTGTAATAACTGCCTTATTTGTACCATTGCATGGTTCTGCTCTCAAACACGTTTCAAATGTACCTAAATCCCTTGCCCCATGTTCACCAACTTTTCAGCACGTACTTTTTGTTGTATTGGAAGGAGGAGAACTGCTCAGTACACGATCTAGATCTTCTTTCAGCCTCTGATTCTCATTCTGCAATTCCTTGATGTTCCTAGACAACCTCAGGACAGCAGTATTCAGTGCCTTTAGTTGTTTCTGAGTATCTCTGCCCTCTGTACTTGGAAACAGGGTCAAAACCAGAAAGTTAATTTAAAAGCAAAGTACAAAGCAGCAGCATTAAAAAGAGTGGAACAGCCTCAGTATTCAAGTCAGCTGGCTAAGTTAACTGTCTCAGCTCCCCCCAGTAGCACTTCTCAACATTTTTTACTTGAGGAAATACCTATTCTTTTAGGAAAAAACATGCAAAGACCACCTTGCTCAACACTTTCACAATTGTTTTAATTTATATGAAAGAAGGAATATACTTTGAAACTTTTAAAGTTGATTTATTACTTTTACTTCCTCCCCCACCCTGTTTCATTAATGCATAAACAAGGGTGCTCATATGAGTTTTACTTACTTGGTTTTCTATTTGTTTTGTTAACCAAGTGCTTATAGTGCTTTACCAGTGCTCTATCAGCCAATGATTTAAAAACACTTATCTTCAGCCAATTGGGAGACTCCTCAAAAAAACTGTTCAGCACAGAAAGCTAACCTGCGTGCTCTGAATTGCTTGCTTTCACTTAACAAACAGATTGAGATTGGAACACAGAGAGCGCTATACATAGATGGAATAACTCTCAAATAAATCCAACACACAAGTGTGTTTTCAGATAACTGTTGACTGCTGCTCTAATGTAAAAAAAAAACACCCATACCTGTGAAAGTAAACCCCAAAGAAATTTCTTCATTTAAGATACATTTCAATCAATGAGAGATTTGAAACAGATTTGAAGAATACAGCTAACATCGATCTGACGGGAATAAAAGGCATCAGAAAAAAGAAAGCCTGCTAGATGTTAAAACTGTTTTAGATATATTGCAGTGATTTTGTCTTTTTAATTTTTCTAATAAAAAGGAGAAGAAATCTCAGCTTCTAGATGCACAAAGTTGTAAAGTTTGTTCACAAAACATTTCTAGTGAGATAAAATACTTGTTCACTATTGTTATGAGAAAATTCTTCAAAACTTACTTTTGGAAACAAAAGTCTGAAGTAACTGATGAACCTACTTTTGGGCAAATGCCACTGCCAATGATAATCACAGAACAGTTTGTGAAGGAATCTTACATCCCATCCACTGGAATAATTACAAGGTAAAGGGGGAGATAGTCTACAATTAGCATATCAGTGAAAAGCTGTATGTAATCTACCTTTTGGAAATTAAAAGGAAATAAAGCCATAAAACCAAACAAATAAGGCTGTCCTGATGTCATGGATGACTGATTATTCATACAGCTGTCAAAAAAAAAAAGTAAAAACCAAAACTAACACACCACCAAAAACGGGAAGTGACAGAAATTATAGAAATCATAACCGTATTACTGAGTGTCATTATTTTAGGCACATCAAAACCTAAATGAAAGAATTGCAGACCACTTTGAGGACTTGAAATGTTGCCTGGTTTCTAGCTACAATTGGATACTACAGCTTCACATATAAATAATCATATTTCAGTGTTAACACTGAAAAAGAGGAGCTAAATGCCATTCACTTCAGCCAGAAATAACATAGACAAGCACCATGAAAGAAACACTCTCCTACAACTCTTTCTACGTACCAGAGTCCTGACCTTCAACATCATTTATTATTTCAGTGCTCAGCCTCTCCAGTAGAGACTGACAGTCACGTAATGGAGAGAGACTACCCTGACCGCTGCTTTTTGTTTTTTTTTTTTTTTTTTTTTTTTTTTTAAGAACAGTGACAAAATAAATTGCAGTTTTCAATCCACAAGGGACAGTGAATTAGGGAAATGCAGGTAGTATACATAATGAACCATAAAGAGTTGCCATATGTTTCTATCAATCTAAATAATTACAACCAAAATTAAGATAGTTGCCTGTACTTAAGAATAGGAGGGCAAGCATATTTTGAAGTGTTATGGTAACAAATTTTCCTATCCCACAAGACTATTGCATAGACAATTTTAATTTGCTCTCTTACTGGAGCTTTGTATTTTGCCATTGTGCTTTGATTTTTATTTCCTCTATAGACTGCTTACCCTCACCACCATGTCTACACCTGCACACTAGTGACAAGCACAAGTACAAGCTTCTCTGACAGTGTCTTACTAGTGCCACTCACGGATCTCTCACAAAAGCTACCTCGACCTGCAGATCTATCTCTCTCTACCACAGGAAAATGTTTACTGCAAAAAACCTTCTTCATAGCAAGATGCAGAACTGACTCAAGAGCAAAATGCCCAACTTCTAGTGAATTTGTTTCAAACACCAGTGATGTCAGAACAGGTGTGATTATGGAGGAAGATGAATTTTATTTAACAGAGATTAATTTTCAGAGCTTTCATGTACTTTTTAAATAGCTTTAGTATTTTTCCACATCCACAAAATGATCTGTCTACAAGAAAAAAACCTCATGACTAAGACATAAGCCAAGGCTGTGAAGCCAACCAAAGTAGCACCAAAAAGCAAATCCAGCAATCTAAATGACAAAATAAACTGTTCCCATGCAGTTGTTTTCCATCAGTTAAAGCAGTATACGAGCGATATATCAAACATGTACACGCAAACATTTGCCTCAAAAGAATTAAACATACTTTTTTCTCATAGTCTCAGATTTTGCCAGGAGGAGCTGGAGACGATGAACCTGTGAAATATGAAATATAGATTCCATTAAGGAGCTACCTGCGGCAGCTGACATTGCTAATGCAACACATTTGTCCATTAGATGAAAATTACAAGAAGGCTCTTTAGGTAGCAGCAGAGGCAATGATGCTGTCACTGAAAATCAGGGTACTGTTATGTTGGTTTTCATCTAGACACTTATGGATGTACATTAGTTTCTTTATTTCTGCTTTTTGGTTAACACACTCAACTCACTGAAAAAAACAGTTTTTTCAGTACATATATTTGGAGCTACAAGAGTATCTATGAAAATCTGATTCCAATGACAGGTGCAGCTAAGCTGTAAGAAACCTATCTAAAACATTTTATTCATACTTCGACTCATTAACTGAACAACTTCCTCTCCTGTGTGAACATTGAAGGACCTGTCAGACGTACCTCTTCATAGTAGGTTTCCATAGCTATCCTCATTTCTTCCAAATTAGTGGTCTTCATGTCTGCCTGGAACTTACTGAAAATAGAATAATACAAAAAATAATTCAGTCAGAGCAGCAAAGTGCTGCAATACCTGTTGGTTTACTGTTTCTGGGCGGGTGGTTTATAATTGCTAGTATGTTCTAGAAGTTCACATAAACATTTTAAGGAACAGAAAAATGCAGATGAAAAATAACATCGATTTCAAATTGCCTTTATTATCTCATCAAATACAAGCCTCTACGCCGCCAAAGTCATACTTAATAGTGTTGTCTTTGTCCTTGCACTGTTGTTCTAGCTTGAGAATCTTCTGCTTTAATCCACTAACCACCTACAGAAAGAACAAAGACCTCATGAGTCCTCGAATAATCCATCTCTTCATAAAGTTCCACTTCTCCATAATCTTGCCCTGTCTTTATAAAGTGTACTTAACCAGATATACTTATGCATACATACTTCAGTACTTGGTAAATCATACGCATGTCTGCTACCCTGTGGCAAAGAGAACACTAATGAAATCAGATCCCTAACTTGTCTCGTAGTAACATAACTAACTTAATAATATTTATACACAATCATTAAATCAAAACAACTCTGCACATGACCCTGCTAAATTCAAAGCAGCAAATAATAGGGAGAACTCAACGCTATCTCAACAGATTCAAGACAATGACAAAGAAGGCTCCCTAAAATAATGTTAATTTCAGATCTTTGTTACTGATTTCTTATCTGACCATAGAAATAATAGTTACATGATTCCCTAATGGCTTATTCTTTCTTACTTCATTTTATTTTTTTATTCAGTAGTGTTTCAGCTTGGCAAGTGGAAAGAAGGGAAAATGAAAGCAGAAGGTAATGAAGAAATTATTACCCATCTGTTATCAGCCTTCTTTTCTGACAAAGCTCGTGCCAACTCAGAGCCCTGAAAGATATAACAGATAAAGCAAGTGACCAACCTTGCTGCTTTATTCTACTGCCAGCTCTTTCCACAGAATTTTCTACTCATCTCCACAGTCATTTCACAGTCCAACAGCTTAAGTCCCTATACTCATTGTTTTGTGTTAGCACACTTCTCTCAAGATGTAGATCTGCACACAGAAAATGACAGTCACAAGGAATTCAGTGAAATTCAGGTCTTCTAACTATGACCCTAAATGCTTCTCTGCCTCATGGGTCTGACAATAAAGCTCATCTTTTGCTTCCCTGTTCAGGTCTAAGGACTACATGCATCAGTGACCATGCAAGAGGTTAACTCCCTTCTACTCTCAGTCAAAATATTCAAAAAGTGGGCCTCTAAAGACACAGCATCTCAATTTTACCTTCAGAAATTAAAAGTACCTTTGCTAAATAAACTTATCCATACAGCATGATATGATCTTCCTTTGAACTGAGGCTGGACTCGTCAGCTGAGATCCACAAAACATAAATCCCTTCACACCAATCAACCACCTCTCATATGCAAACTCATCATTCCTAGGAGCCAACACACTACAGACTCCTGAATCTAGAGACGGGGAGAAGCACATCACACTACTCAGCACTCTTTTTCCCCACTTTTATTCCCCCAAGAAATAGTCACCCTGGAAGGATCCAACAGTTGTTCAATCTGTTTATCCTTTCTGTTGTTCTCTTCTTCTAGTCGACGGAGCTTAGTTTTCATGCGGTCTCCCTCATTTTTCTGAGCTTGTATTGTCTAAAAGAGGGGAGAAAAACTGTAATCACATTTCAGAAATAGAAAAACACTGAGTTTTCATATGGAAACACATTTTGATGTAAATAACAATCCAATTATGATGGTGAGGATGAAGCAAAAGAAAAAAAAAAAAGAAAAAAAGAGACCATCACACTGGATCAGGGCTGACAGGTAAGGGAGGTGACAGGGCAAAGATAAAAGGAAAAGGTTTGACAGAAAGGCAACCTTACACAAATGATCTGCAACACCCAAGATATGTGTCTATAGGTATCCCTAGTGTTCAACATGCCCAGTCCTCATCTTTCATCCACTGCACTAAACTCAACTGAGAAATTGTTAAAATGTGATGGGTAACAGCTGGGGGGGGAGGAGGAGGAAATAAAAAAAAGGGTGGAGGGACAGAGAAACCAAATGCAATGAACCTTTTCAGCGTCCAGCTAGGGCCATGGCTGGGGTTCAGGACTGGGTATACTTCAAGGCTTCCACATCCAGTACTCAGAAGTATCTATCGCACCATAAGAACAATGAAATTGCCTTAAACAGACACAAGTTTAGTTTAGCCTTACATTACAAATGCAAAAAAATTTGGTGGATGTCCCAGTCGTAGAAACCAAAGTATTCTGAACCAACAAGGCCTGGACATCTACAGGTGGATGGAGTGTCCCTATGACTTTCTATGTAAGTATCAGAGAGACTGTACCTTTTTCAGTTCTATAATTTCATCATACATATCTTCTTTTTCTTTGTAGTCAGGAGTTCCAGGAATGTAGCCTACAGAAAAAGGTGCATAAAATAAGCAGATCTGAAAGAGGTATTTTTAACTAACCAGAAACCTTACAGTTAAAGGAAAATACCTAGAACAGCACCAAGCTAGAAACTAGAATTTCCTTTTTTTTTTTTAAAGAAGAAAAATCAGCAAGAAAATTAATTTTAAAAATGGAGGTGAAATGGAGATGTTGCTATATGAAGTTTCTGCCAGGTTTTACAGAAAATTTCTCCTAATTTCTTCTTTTATCTCTGGTGCTAGACTAAAATACCCACCTCAAGAAAGATATACGCTTCAAAGAAGACTGCAGTCTTCTCATCCCAACAAATCAATTGTTTACAAAAGGTTTCTAAAATATGTCCAGAATATATTTTTCTATTTATGCCTAACATGTAAATGTCTATCATCTTTTAAAGTTGCCACAAACTGTCCGTGTATTACCAGTAACACTATTGTCATTTTAAATGGAAGTAGGGTTTTTAAGTTTACAGTTCTCCTTTAAGGAAAGCAGGATGAAAGTTTTAAATTTTGCTCTTCTCATAAAATTCAATTGATTTTAATATCACAACCACATGATTTTCCACTTTCTAGAGAAGAAGTAAAAGGAGTCAATTACATAGAATTTCAGCAAGCAGATGGTTTCTATCAATGCTTCCTAAACTATGTTTTGCAAAGTCACAATAAATTGTCTACAGCTGGCCCATTGAACCATATTATATTTGCAATGTTTTCAGCTGCAAATGCATGGCAATTTGCAAAAAGTTCTGAAAGCTAATAGTGACTCATTGCTCAAAAAATTTGGAAACCCCTGTCTTATCCAATTTAGAAATCTCAAAAAGTATCTCATGGATCATATTTTGACACATACATTTTAATACAGGCTAAACTGAAATGGCTCTTGCTTCACTAAAGCTAAGATCTTAAGCAATGTGTGTTTTTATATGGAAAAATGATTATTATTTTTTATCTACCACACCATTACATAGTTTACCATTACTAGAAGAACGAGAATGTTTTGGCTTCTTCATTCCTAGAGCTTCCTTCAAATATTCTGGAGTGCTACTAGAAATGTTAGTTCGCATGTGCCCCATGTCAACATCTGATTTCAGAGGATGGCTCATTCCTGCCAATAAAAATGGAACAAAAATGCAAAAATCAGGGATAATTGTGAATTAAATTTGTGGATTTATTCTGAGCAAGTGCAACATAGAAAGCTCCAGATGCTGTTAATTATTCCCTCTATAAATTCCCATGCTCAAGATTAGATAATTCCAACCACCCAAATAAATAATAGTGAAATTACTTTCTATGTAGCCTATAATCAAATACAAATCTACTTTTAAAGAGTTTATATGTTAAGCTGTCCACAACACTGAATTTTACCCACATATGCAGATGAAGTTTCTGTACTAATACCTTGTTTCAGTGATCCCAGCCACATCTGCCTTGGGGTTTTTATAGCTGCACTCTCGAGACGTGCACTGCCTGTTCCCTGCAGAGATCGCCAAACTGCATTTTTTTTAGGATACAGTTGTGTGCTAGAGCTGTATGGAGACTCTAAAACAAAAGAAAACGTCTCAGCATTCCCTTAAAAAGCTCAAGGTCACGAAAAATCTGTCTTGTGCTTCAAGGTTCCCAGACACAGTCCTATTACTTATAAAAATAGAATGTAACAGCATACTATACACTGGCTTATGCAGAGCAATGGGACATTCACTTAAAAAAAAAAAAATCACAATAAAGAAAAAATCCAATTCCAAAAAATGGAAGAGGCTTAGAAAGAGGCATAGTGAGAGTAATACAACTCAATCCATATAGAAATGTTTACATGTACAGTTTGGATAGGCATCTTTAAGATACCTGCATGTCTAAATTCATACAATAAACTGACCTTTCAATGAATGTATACACAAATGTCCTATTAATGAGAAAAATAGGCTAAACAGATTAACTCTATAGCTACTAATTCATTAGCGATTTTCTTGCAGTAATCAAAGAACAGAACTGGTCCAATGCAACTGCTGTGGAGCCTCTCATGTTACTACTTCAGGTACAGTGGTCAGGTTCAAATGTTGTTTCAAGTAAATGTTGTTTCAAGTAAATCTTCCTGTTCCTGCATCCCACAAATCTACCTTGTCTGCAATAATGAGAGCAGAAGAAAAAAATTTGGAACACTTACTTGGTGACTTTGGAGGTTTGTGAAAAATTTTCTTCTTTAACTTCTGCAAGAGAAAAAGAATTTTTTATGTATTTAAAATATCGTACTCTTCAAAGACTTCAGCATATAATCTCAAAATTGGCTTCAATATCCATTTTGTATGAAGAGCACTTGTTCTAATAACACAATCTTCTGTGTAGAAAAGAAAAATAGTCAAGTATATGCAGATTTGGCCACAGCAACAATCACCAGAACTAAGGTGGTGCCTACTGAAGTTTTATGCTACAGATAAAAAGTAGTCTATTCGTGCTCAGAACACTAAGACCTTCCCCATCAGTAGTAAATACAAGTATCTACAAATTCAAGATGATCACAGAGTAGAGGCTGATCTGTAGAACCATTTAGGTAAGGGAAAGACTTACTCAATTCCATCAAAACTCTATAAAAGAATTACTTCGGTCCGTAACTTGACAGAACAGCAAAATGAAGCTAAACATCATTTGCAGCCCCCAGTACTGAGAATTTAGAAGCCAGAATTACATCTGAAATTAGAGGAGGTTTTTGAATCAAACTACACTGCAGTAACATTGTTAGCTCTCCTCTCTCAAGGGCATCTTATCGACCAGGAGGCATCACGTCTGCAAGAACACACTGAGAGGCCTTTTAAGGCATTCACCCACAGCACACCATTAATAAAACTCACCATTTCTGTATCTGATTCACAGGTTATCACAGACATGCTGTCATCTCCCTGGGAAACAGAGACATTAACTGTGACATTTTCTACTGAGTAATTGGTTATAATACACTTCCAAAAAACTTTATATCCTGTTACTATTACAAGAAAGTTTGAGTGCAATAAATTAAAATGGTAAATGTCTCATCGCTGTTGCAAAAAAATAGAACCATTTGCTCTAACACAAACATTCTGTGTTATAGAGTGCAAGTCACTTCAGACCCGAGCCACAGAGGTTTATGCACTTCAGTACACAGCATTACAACAGCTGAACCCTCAGGTGCCCCATCTTCCATGGTACTGGTTCTACATGAATTTCTCCACCCATAAGAGTTAAGCAGCAAGTCATCCATCTGTACCCTTCCTCACTTACTTGTTCCTACCCTTGCTATGCTATGGGAATGTTCAGTAAACTTGACTAGAGAAGTGATTTTTCTTCTGATCGAGTTCACAAGTTTCCCTGCTTCTCAAGTGTACGCACATCCACAGCCAAAGGAAAATGTCCACTTTGCTTTCAAATTATCTGAATGTATGCAGCCCTTGCCGATAGCATGTTTTCCCTTACTGCTGACTCCATGGCGCTCACAGCTGCAGCATGGTTCTTTGGACAGATGTGGAACTGTCTCTGTAAGAGGCAGGTTGTGGTGAAGCATTTTTGAGAACTCTGGCTGACAGAACAGGAGCTGGGATTGACAACAGAGCAGGTAAACCAGCTCCTTGTGCTGGCTGAGAGCAAGCGGTTACACAGCTCACACACCATACCATACACTTTTTAATTTCCTGAGGCAACGTTCCTTTCAGCACACTGATTATTTTTGTTATTTCAAGGCCTTTTATCACTCTGGGAGATTTCTCTACCTAACTGCAGCTATCGCGTTAGGAATCAGAGAACATGGAAGGTGCCCAGCCTTGACAGGAGATGGTAAACAACAAAACATTCACCAGGATATAAACGTGCAATAACAAAACTACTGCAGTCCCTTGGAAACCTTTACAGTCCCTTTGCTCTTGCAAAACAGGCCCAACAAGAGCCACCTACGACAGACAACAGAGCAAATGATGGCTCCCAGCAAAGGGCCTCAAAACCTCCATCTGGCTGCTGAGGCGGAAGAAAACGAACGATAAGTCCCCCCTCCGCCGTGCTACCGGCCAGCCAAGGAGATACAGGCAGAACCCACAACCCCGCGGGCTGGAGACGGACCAAGACGTCCTCGTCCTCCTCCCCCTCCTAGCCCCCGCCTCGCCCGCCTGGCGAGCCTGAGGGGCCTCAAGGCTCTGCCCCGGCCTCACGGGTAGGTGGGAGCGTTTCCCGGGCCGCGCCCGGGGCCTGGGCCGCCGCCGCCGCCTCCTCCTCCTCCTCCGCGCCGCCCACTCCTTACCAGCTCCCCGTCCGCGGCCGCCTCGCCAGCCCCCTGGGCCATGGCGAGAGAGTGGCGGGGAGGCCTTAGGGGGTGGCAGGGCGGCGGGGGCCGCGTCAGGCCATGGCACCCAGCTCGGGGCAGGGGACGGCCGCGGCGGCCCGGGCTCAGCGCCGGCCTCCCCCCCCCCGCGGCCCTTCCGGGTTGCGGTAACCATGGCAACCAGCCGCGCTGTGGCGCCTGCGCAGAGTGGCCGGGGCGGGGAGGCGCCGCAGCGGGAGCAGTTGCGCCGCCGCCTGCGGGCCCGGCCAGGCGGGCCTCGGTCTTACTGCGGAGCGCGAGTGCCGCCAAGCGGCCCCCAGGGGCAGGAAAGCCCGGCAGGCTGCGGAGGAGCAGGGTCGGCTCCGCTCCGCCCCCCCGCCGGCCTCCCAGCGCGCCCGGGCCACGGCCCCACTTTTGCGACACTCGCTTTGCGGCCGCGGCAGGCGAGGCGGGGCTCTCCCGGTTCTGCGGCCGCTCCCCCCTCTCGGGTTATGTCCGTGCAGGAGTCGCGGTGCATCGCCCGGGCCCGCCGCCGTTTCGCCATGACCCGCGAGTGTTCCCTCCTGCTGCCCCGCGTCTGCGCCGCCTTGGCCGACCCGCGGCAGCCGGGCTCCGATGACACCTGCCTGGAGAAGCTGCTCGACTGGTTCCGGAGCCTGACGGAGTTCGGTGAGTGCCCGCAGCCCCCCCACGCCCCCCCGGCCCCGGTGACCGGCAGGGACCTGTCCGAGGGGGAAGGGAGGCCTGCAGGCCGGGGCGCTGGGGGAGTCCCCCCGCAGAGGTGCTGTTCCCTGGGTGACACCTGAACACGCTGTGTAGTACTTGAGGCCTGTACCTGGACTTCAGGGGAACCCAAATTCGTCCCTAACAGTTGTGAGGGGTTACACTCAGCTCGGGCAAGAGCCTTAGAGTTATGAGAGAGTGTCGTGGTTTGGGCTGGACTTGCCACTGAATGAATGACGGATGCTCTCTGAGTCCTGGCAGTGACCCTCTGTTTTCTGGCCTCTCCTCGGGCAACACCCGGTCACTAGATCCTACCGTGAAGCTGGTGCAGGACAACCCCTGTCTGACAGAACTCATTGCTTCCGTGCTGGCACTGCCAGAGCCCAGTCCGAGCATCCTCTCCTTTACTCTGCGGTTAGCTGGGATACTTGCTGCTTCCGAAAACTGCTTCCAACACTTCCAGGTGAGTCGGTCACCCAGGTAGCTGCTGCCACGTGTCTGTTTACTCCTCCTATGTGGAGGACACTTGAAAATGTACATATTCTGTTTATAAAATTTCTGGCTTATATCAGACAGCTCAGCAAACAGTGATATGATAATCAAGACCTACAATCAGGCCATTTCTTTCCAGTTCTCACATAAAGCTGCTGTCTTCTGTCTTGCCACAGTAGTACTACGAATGCTAATATGCAATGTTTCTCATTTTCTGTTCACAACAGTATATGGGATAACAGTATCTCACAGCAGTCATTGCAAAATATTTTATCCCTGGACAGATCCTGTAGTTTTAAACTGCACTAACAGATGTAGTTTTCCCTCCATAGTTGGTTGACAGGAAATCTCAGATTCCCTGCAGAAATGAGGGAGCTTTTTAAAGCCTTGCTTTCTACAATAGAATACGTTTATAATACAAAACTCAAAACCCATAAGGGTTTGAGAGAAGAGATGCATGCAACTGCATAAAGCAGTGTGATGGAACTGATATATATATAAGTTGTCCCTAGCATCTTAAAGACAAGTAATTTTGGTTTTGAACACATCTCTTGCTTAGTCTATGAAAGAGACAGGTTGAGCTTAAGCATGGGATTGTGAAAATTTTCTATGTTAGTGATCCTTCTAGGAAGAGAAGGCTTCACTACACTATTGATACTCTTGACCTGGATGACAGAGCAGCCTTTCTACTCCCCTCAAGCCCCTTTGCTTACTGTTTACTCTGTGTCTTCTCTGGCCTCAGCAGGAGAAGCTGTTGGTCAGGCTCTTTGGCAGGGATGGGCCTCTGAGCAGCACAGTGTGGGAAGATGCATCCGTGCGAAGTGGCTGGGTGGAGGGTGTGCACAGCATGATGCATCACCAGCCTGCCCTCCACTTCCTCTGCAATGGTGGTGAGTACTTCTAGGACTGGGAAATCCCCAAATTTTCCATGCCTCTTCTATTCCAGTCTGTTGCTTAGACGTCAAATGAGACAGGAATTTTCATTTATTTAAGATAAAAGTAAGCCATTTGTCAAAAACACTGAAGTCATTGAAAGATTGTGGGTTTTTTGTTAAATTAGCTATGCTTTTTTTTTT